CTAAGCAAGAAAACACAACATATATTTGATATTTCGACGAGACTAAAAACTTTTTTGTGCGTGTTTTTCTGGAGATGCGCCTGCGAAAACATGTACGCTCATGTCAATTCATTGATCTTGCAGAGCTCGAAAAACTTTCGGCCGAGCGAGTGAGATACCACAATAAAACGGCGTAATTCAAAATTTTGCACCGTGACAAGTGATGAAATTTTGCACAACGATAACTTCTTTTAAAACAAATAGAATATCATAATACCCTAATCTAGAGAATGTTTTTATTTTCAGGGATGAGATTCCGCATTAAAAGTGAAAGCTATACAGCAGTTAAAAAAGGGGTGTCACCGGCAATGTTCGGAAAATAAATAATAAAAACCTGCTTAAAATAGCAAAAAATACCATATTTGGGGAGACTACTGTTGCCATGGAAACAATATTATGTTCAAGAATATTGCAAATATTTTCTATCAAATACTTAATTTGTACTCGGGAATGCTTAAAATTAATAGATGAAGTGATAAAATTTATAAATTGGAATTTTTGCGCAATAAGGTATTTATACTACGGAACTGTATGCAGTCACATTAAGCTATGCTGTTATAGACTGTCGGTCCTGTCAAGGCCGCCAACACTGAGGGATGCAATTTTCCCCTAGGGCCACAATTAAAGGTAGTCCCAAATAAAGAATTACCGTGAAATATACCTAGATGTAACTGTCAACTAGATTTCCAGAGTGCAGGATTTAGTCATCTCTGGTACCTTAGACCCCTAAATCATAGTGTTAGAAGATGGAATCACGAAGGGCCCAAGTCAAAAAGTCAAATGTTGCTCTGGGCCACTGAATTTTCCCCGGCGACTCTGGATGTTGTGCAGTGTATGTTGGTTTTTGCATTTCTGAATATCAATTGTAGCCTGTTTTGTAGTTAAATTAACATTATTATAAGAGTGTGTTCAGAAATTTTCAGGTCGTGCTTTTGCTCGGCTAAAATTTGCACAAAATATGCAGTCAGTGATAAAAAATCTTAAAATTAGGTATGGAAGCAAGTTAGATAAAGTGTGTGCTTTACTATATATGCATAAGTTTTACTGCAAAACTGACGAAAATACGGTATTATATTGTATAAGCTTCCAAGAAAATAATGAAAGAAAAAGAAATAATTCAGCTTGGTAACAAGCTATGAAAGGTGTTCCAAAAAGTGCGTGTTCTGGTGCAATGTTAATAACTTCGATAGAAGTTCCAGATTTAGTACTAGAAATAATTATCCTACCGTCTTATTCTATTAATACTTTACATATTGCGAACCGCTGACGACATAGAAATTAGATGTAGTGTATAGAGAACGTTATCCTTTTAAAATTTGGATTTTTCTCACCATTTTCCCCGCACAAAAAAACGCACCATGGAAATCTTAATACGAAAACAAAAGACACGTTTTCCCAGCGAGAGGAGGCATGACTCCATGATTTTGGTAATTAATGGTTGTTTGTCCCTAATAACAAAGATGGCGTTACATAAAAAAATAGTTAAAATGTGGCGGAAGCTTCCGCAGAAAAATGAAAATTTCCTAAAATGTTTCGTTTCTGGAACATAAATTTCATTTTCGTAGGCGATTCGCATCATACATAGCCACCAAAGCAACAACGATCGGAACAGATATTGGATAAAGATTGTATAACTTTCTATTTTAAGGAAATTTCTTGGATAACTATTAATCATTCCTGACAAAATTAATTTGGCACCCAACTACAGGCATGCATTGTGCAGTATTCTATCGGGGAATAGGCGCATTATATTAAGTATTTTATCTTCTCACTTTGCACCTGTTCTGCCTTTTAAAGATGCGGTAAAGTCTGTTCTGCGCATATATTCTGCGCATCAAAACATTCCATCAGTGGGGGAGCAACCTTTGGAATGTTGTTAATATTTCGCACCTTCCGAACTTTCTTGAATTGAATCTCTAGCCTGTATTCATTTACAGGCATAACGAACCAGAAAAGTGTTAAAAATTCAGTATAATATATATCTAATCATATTTTACAACTGTAGCACTGAGTTCAAAATGTAAACAAAGCGTTTGTTTACATTACGGACTTTACATCACCTTTAAATGGTACAAATATTTACAGGCGTATCTGTCAGGTTGCGAGGTCCATCAAGTTCCAACGGTACAGGTCGAGTGGAAGTACTCTACAGTGGACGATGGGGAACAGTATGTGATGATGGTTGGGGTATAAATGATGCAAAAGTTGTATGCCGTCAACTTGGATATAAATACACTCTCAGAGCTCTTCAAGGTAGATATGTTCCTGACGGAACTGGCCAGATATGGTTGGATGATGTTTCTTGTACTGGACGTGAACAAAATTTAATCGGTTGTTCGCACAGAGGATGGGGAAGTCATAATTGCGGCCATTCTGAGGACGCAGGAGTAGAATGTTCTTCAGGTAAAATTGTAATATTATTTTTAACCACTCACATGAAACTATGACAACCACATTGTGTGACAGCACCGTCTTCTTGACTAGTAAAATTGTCTGGCATTGGACAGAGCAAAATAATAAAGTTGGTCGTCTCATGGCTCATTGCCACTTAAAGTGTTTTAAAATTAACTCTGTTCTTGCGAAGCCTGATTACAAGTTTATAACAAGATACATTGGCAGAATTCACCCTTTGGGTAACACCACTCTCACCTTTACGACAAAAATCGTCTGCTGTGAAACAGAGCAATATACCAAAGTCGTATTTTGCCTCAGGGCCCATTTCCACTTAAAAAGTTAAATCATGCACGAGCATGACACCAGTTTTCTTCAGGAAATCAACCCAACAAGAAGCACATTGTGGTTCTCCATTGGGGAATAAATTATTTCCCTTTCATTATTCCCCATTCCACCTGTTCTTTATTTAAATTGGCATTTAATGTTTACAGGTGTGCCTGTCAGGTTACAAGGACCATCGAGTTCCAATGGTACTGGTCGTGTGGAGGTATTCTACAATGGACGATGGGGAACAATCTGTGACAATTATTGGGATATAAATGATGCTAGGGTTGTATGTCGTCAACTTGGCTATCAATATACTGTTAGAGCTCTTCGAGGGAACCAAGTTCCTGACGGAACTGGACAGATATGGTTAAGTTCTGTCAGATGTACTGGAAGTGAAGAAAATTTGATCAGTTGTTCTCATAGCGGATGGGGAAATCATTATTGCGGGCATCATCAGGACGCAGGTGTAGAATGTTCTGCAACAGGTAGAATTTTAACAAACATATATATTTTCTTTATTAAAATCTTTTGTGAAATTAACTTTGAAACAAATGATAGCGATAGGGGATCTAAACTGATCCCCTTCAAACACAGGGGATCAGTGGTAGGAATCCATATGCGTGATAATCATGGAGAGAGCTCAACAAGGATTGAAAACTGCTTTTCGATTCTGCGCAAGTGTCGAGCGAAGTACGAGTGCCTTCTCTACGAGATGCTTTACATTTGAACTGAAACCATCTTTGAACACTCAGTCCGACTCGATACGTTCTAAGCTTTTTGCTTAATATTAATTTGTTAATCTTGTTTGTTGTGTTTGTCTTATGTGTAAATAGTTAAATGTTTTTATTGTTTGTTTTTAATATTTTAGTATTTTTTGTCTTGCGCATTTAGTAAAAATTCTGCATGCTTGCGCAATTATTTGTTTACGTGACACGAACACGCGGACCGTTATAATTAAAGCAAAACACGAACAATTCTTATTTTTAACTTGAAAATGATGCAAGAAGCATCGAAACGTCGTTGTAATAAAATAAAATTAATATCGCTATCATTTGTTTCAAAGTTAATACATATTTTCAACATTTTAAAAGGAGAACAGTGATGCTAATTGTGTCTCACATGCAGAGCGAAGAATCGGAAATTTTGCTGTTATTCATGACCCAAAACCTCTCTAGCTAGCCTGAATAAACCCCTTTTTAAAATTTTTAAACCCCTTTTACGACTCGACCCAATGGTTATTAAAGAATCATCTTGCGATAAACATGGGGCAAAATTATGTGTGTAATTTTCGAAAATGTTTCAATGCAGTGTTTCTATGTAATGGATAATAATAGATAATAATATGTATGATTATTCAATATAGATGTGGACGAATGCGCCCGAGGATTGGACAACTGTGGAAGCAATTCTCAATGTATTAACACTGAAGGGAGTTTTTTGTGCATATGTAACCATGGTTATACTGGAAATGGAGTATACTGCTATGGTGAGTAGTACCTTGGAAATGGAAGAACACAAACTAAATTTTGACATGTCTTGCGTGCTTAAATAAGTTGGTTTAGGTTCGGTATAGTGGCCCCGGCCTATACATTCTTAAAAATGTTGGAAATGTACAAATTATGTCAACTCTTTGAAGAGATGTAGCATGCTAGAAATTGCGCACCATATGCATGTATATGTAGAGCAACAACGAAACAGTTGAAAATTGGTCACAAAAATGACGTGACCACTATTGCTATGATAACTATGATAAATCAAGATGCTGATATCAACGCATTCACTTAGAAACACCCCTGGTTACCTCCAGTTTTTATTTCCGAAAACATTTTCTTGTAGCACAATTATCATAAATATTACCCGCGAAGTGATGATCCCGTTCGTCATCACTGCACTGAGGGTATTATTTCGCCCTATCACCCGAGCGGAGGGTCTATTAATTATTATACCGAAATTTTGAAGCCTCCAAGGTGAGAATGCAAAACTTGACAGATACCTTTGTGAATACGATGTTTTATTTTTGGATTAACGCAAGTATCGTCGCTTTTCTTTCGAATCCCATATCGTTGGGAATATTAATGACGACAGGAGTATTTAGGAGTATTTCATTAAAGCATTAAAGCATTAAATATTGTCAAAAAGAACGCAGGCTTCTTAATTGATGACGTAAGGCGTGATATCGCTCGCGATTAATTTCATGCTCAAACTGAGCTTTCTGATTGGATAATTTGAAGTTGAGGTATAATATTAGATTATGATCTCAATTATTTTAAAAAATCTATGTAGGTTCATTTTTTAGAAAAGAAATAAACATGGTTTTTCGAAATTATATATATATATATATATATATATATATATATATATATATATATATATATATATATATATATATATATATATATATATATATATATATATATATAAGACAAACTTGAATTACTTCATATGAACTTTATTTCACTACAAATTTGTTTCGTATGACAATACGAG